GTGGGCAGCCTCCTGCAGCAGGTACTCTTTTGGGTCTGGCTTCTTTTGCTCCTCATGTCTTTGAGACTCACCCACCATCATGTGTCCATCTCTCTCCTGTTCGTGACTGAGGCAGCCGCTGCATAGCTGTGCACTCTGTTGATCCAGTTGCCTATTGATGGACAGTAGGATGGCCTGATCCCACTGAAGGTTGGGCCTGGAGTCCCAGAGCCCTGGCTTTGCCCCCAGCCCCACGCTGGGCCTTGGGCTGTCATCAGGCTCTTCCTTTCTGCACCGGGCAGCAGTGCAGCCTCCCTCAGGCTGGGCTGTCCACATGGAGAGGGCCCAGGAGCACAGCCTGCCGGACACCATGTTGTTGGGATTTTGATTGGGGTGATACTGAATTTACGCCGTAGTGTGGGGAGCACACATCTTCTTGAGCAAGGCCCTCCTTCCAGCTGCCTGGTGCCTTGGGGAGCTCCTCCCGCAGCAGCCCCCTACCCACCCCGTTTTGTGTCTTAGCAAGTTAGAGAGCTTCAGATCTTTGCATATTTGCATTGTGTCCTGCCAACTTTCTGCATCTTTTTGCCATTTTCTTTAACTCTTTTTAAGAGTTACATTACAGATCAGGGGAAATAAACAAGTCCAAGGAGCCCCGAGTCTCCCTTGAAGGTTCCTTCCCTGAGCTGTACACTCTGACTGACCCTCCACCTCCCTGCACCCCTCATTCTGTGTGTGAGCCCCATATCCTGCAAGCTCCATGTCCCACAAACCCCATATCCTGTGAGCTTTCCCCTTGGCACCATCATTTGTCACTCACGCTGCGTGCTCTCTGGTAGTAACAAATGCTGTTTACTTTATTACTTTTATTATTATTATTATTATTATTATTATTATTATTATTACATTTTAATTATAGAAGTAATACTATTATTATTATTACATTTTAATTATAGAAGTAATACTATTATTATTATTACATTTTAATTATAGAAGTAATACCTGAACTTATTCTTCTTTGTAAAAACTTAAAACATGAGAGTTTAAGCCAATTCCTGTGGTCTCCCAC